GAATGTTAGTGTCAAATTGTCGTATGCTTGGGGTGAGTAGTCATTTAGTAAGTGAAATCAACCTATGAAACGACAATTTTTTTGTAGCAGTGCATAATACTCACCCCTAATTTTGCTTATTATATTTTAGAAAAAAATGCGTATTATACATAAGGAATTACTGTACTTAAATAGACTGAACCACACGTAAAAAATAGGAATTTTTTTTTACAAGTAATTTTTGTACACAACATTCTTTAGACCTTTATTCGGTCACGACACTTGGCAGAATCGATAAATATTGATTTTTTTAATCATTTTAGAAGGAGATAAATAATATCATTTTAGTGTAAAATCGATCGCAATGTTTTATCAAGTAACAAATGTCAAGTTTGAAAGTGTGCCAAATATATATATATATATATATATATATATATATATATATATATATAATTTTCTGAATTTTTAAACCTTTTCTCTATCTTTATTTTTTAAATTTGTTTACAGAATATCTTTTATACGGGATTTTCTCGGAAAGTAATTTGAAGTTAATAATTATTATCTTACATGAAGAATAAACGGATGCTTGCATTTATTAATTTATATAAACCATTGTTCTTTAATTTAAAATGTATATATCTGTTTGTTCTTTATTTAAAAGAAATCTTTTTGTTACCTCCGCAAAAAAAGCCTATTTTTGTACTTATTACATCCAGTTCCAATAACAACGTAAAAGTTGGGGATCGATTTGACGCTGTATCGATATTATAAAACGGACTGCCATTCTAAATTGATAAAAAAAAATCAATATTTTTTTCTATTCTGATAAGTGTCGTGACCTAAGGAAGACCTAAAGAATGCTAATCTACAAAATATATTCCCAAAAGATGTTTTCCCTATTGTTTTTACGAGTGGAACACTATATTCAAGTAGTACTTTTCTAACGTTCTAGCTCCTTAAACACCAAATTAAATCATTGAGAACACAAAAATATGTAGTTGGTTCGTTGTGTTTTCACATTCTTTTTTTTTCCATTTCACTTTGAGGCAACAGAGATGTGATTGGATTGAACAATTCTGAGAATACCATAGACTGAACATGTGAGTAACGAGAAAGTTTTAAGGAAAAGTGAAACAAAAGGGATGATTATAATTAGAATCTGAAAGAGACAATTGAAATACATAATGAGGAAAACGGGTTTGGAGAATATATTGAAGGAAAGAGAGACGGAGAGAAGAAGCGAATAGCCTATCTAACGAGCTTGTGTAAATGGATGGCAGAACAACTAAAAGAACACGTGCATTTTACACTAGAAATAGGTGGTCGAAATAATGAGAAAACAGCATTAGGAGAAATTGACAGTCACAGGGCATATTGATGGTAAGAGGGGGAGAGCTAGACAGCGAGTAACATATTTAAAAAGCTTGGTTTGGTTTGGTTTGTTTTACGGTATATCAACATCTCAATGGATTATTTAATGCCAACAAGATTTTTATTGCGGGCAATATTTTTATCTATCTATCTATCTATCTATCTATCTATCTATCTATCTATCTATCTATCTATCTATCTCAGTATATATTGGTTTGGTTTGGTTTGGTTTGTTTTACGGCATATCAACCTCAGTGGGTTATTTAATGCCAACAAATTTTTTATTGCTGGTAATAATTTTTTCAAAAATGTATTGCTGCTAATACATATTTTTCCCAAAGATCTATTGCTGGCAATATTTTTTCTTCAAAAATATACTGCTAGTAATATTTTTTCCTTCAAAAATGTACTGCTGGAAATAATTTTTTTAATAATTACTAGTAATAATTTTTACAAAAATTTATTGTTGGCATTAAAACCTATTTTTACCCTTTCATAGTTTTTTGACCCCAGTTTGGGGGTTAACTATTTACCCATAAATGAGACCCTAAGAGTTGTTTTTTTTTTCCAAAATGTATTGCTGGAAATATTTTCCCCAAAAATGTACTGCTGGTAATATGTTTTTTCAGAAATATTTTGCTGGTAATAATTTATTGCTGGTAAAAATGTATTGCTGGTAATAATTTTTCCTGCAAAGATTCACTGAGATCATAGACAAAGAACACCATTGGAAAATTTGTAAACTTAAGGAATCAGCACATATGCTAGCCCACAAAAATCTGAGCCGACCAAGCATAGAAATGAATACAATATGGAAACCAGTAATAAGGAGTGCCAGAGAAAAGCGATAATAACAACAAAGTTGCAATATGAGCTCTGGTAATAAAAAAAATGCAATGATAACAGCAAAAATTGCAATATGAGCACTGGTAAAAAATGCTTACCGAAGACATTAGGTTTATAATACTCAGAAATTCATACCCCGATGTCCTCAAGAACACATGGCACAAGGCGATAGTTAGTTCCAGTGACAGGACCCAAAGAGTGTGAGTTCAATACCCGGTTAAGGCAGTGGAGAACTTTCAGAGGGAAATTAACAGGATATAACTGATAACTGACATCCATTAAAACATGACACTAGAACAGTCTACCCCAGTGAAATAAAGGGTTCAGTTCGACATTCCAACCACCTGAAGAAGGCGTGGAGTGTACAACAGCCGAAACGTTGTAATAAATATGGCGTTGTAATAAATATGGCGACAAAGATGAGAACAATAGTCCGAATAATGTAAATAATGTACATAATACCTCATCTCATAAATATTGACAGATACTGAAAGATTCACTGCTAAAAGAAAATACATTACTGCTTGTAATAATTTTTAATTAAAAAGTATTGCTGCTATTAAAACCTGTTTTTACACTTTCATAGTGTAGTTTAGGAGGGGGGTTAACTAGTTGGCCATAGGAGGGACCCTAATAGGTGCTACCACCCCGGGTCAGGGTGGACCTGAAATTCTAGCTATTAAGAGGTGGTTAAACTCTCCTCAAAACCTGATCAGAGGTCTTGCTATTGGATGTAGTTTATCGTCTTACCCAGGATACCTCATTTTGGGGTGGTTGGTCGGGGGGGGGGGTGGCGTATTTTGGAGCCCCAACTGACAGGGCAATTAACAAGCTTGTGTAAACTGGGGAGGATAATACGTGGGCGAGAAAAGGAATGGGGGGGCTTGATTGCCCACATCCTGAACGTAAACGACGCATAAAAATGCAAGAAGATAAAAGGTATTGAAAAAGAAAATTATGTCATATTGCTGAACAAATCAACAATTGTATTCATTGTTGCTTTTTTCTTTAAGTAAGCAAATTATTAGTTTGCTGACCACAGAGAAATTCTAATTCAAAACACATGAAGATATAAACTACCAAACATTATTTGGAAAAGAATTTGTTCATGAGCACAACTTAAGTCACCAAGCTGCATTTCTAAAAACCCTTGGGAATAACCAGAAAGACACCCTTAATAATATGTGAAACCAGCTTTGGAAAGACTATACTCACGCTAATATTACTTTCTACAATACGCACATTCTTTTTCTGGTACAGTGTCTCTTCAATATCATGTCCTTTGGAGCTTTTGTAGCTTTTGTAGCTTCAATATCATGTCCTTTGTAGCTTTTGTAGCTTTTGTAGCTTTTGTAGCTTCAATATCATGTCCTTTGTAGCTTTTGTAGCTTTTGTAGCTTTTGTAGCTTCAATATCATGTCCTTTGTAGCTTTTGGTAATTTGCTAAATTGTTTTTATCTCACCTAAACTCTATTTTGCCATTCGTTCTTTTTCATCTTCTATATACAGTGTCCTTTCAGACATTGGCGATCAAGGCTCTCCACAATTTCCTTTGCTTTGTAGCTCTTAGTAAATTTGGTCTTTTTGCTATATCCCCATAACCCTATTCTGCCACCTATTTACACAAGCTCGTTATTTTTCATCTTGTATATACCGTGTCCCTTCAGACATTGGCGATCATGGCTCTCCACAATTTCTTTACTTTTGTAGCTCTTAGTAAATTTGGTCTTTTTGCTATATCCCTAAACCCTATTCTGCCATCTATTTACACAAGCTCGTTATTTTTCATCTTGTATATACCGTGTCCCTTCAGACATTGGCGATCATGGCTCTCCACAATTTCTTTACTTTTGTAGCTCTTAGGAAATTTGGTCTTTTTGCTATATCCCTAAACCCCTATTCTGCCACCTATTTACACAAAGCTCGTTATTTTTCATCTTGTATATACCGTGTCCCTTCAGACATTGGCGATCATGGCTCTCCACAATTTCTTTACTTTTTGTAGCTCTTAGAAATTTGGTCTTTTTTGCTATATCCCCTAAACCCTATTCTGCCATCTATTTACACAAGCTCGTTATTTTTCATCTTGTATATACCGTGTCCCTTCAGACATTGGCGATCATGGCTCTCCACAATTTCTTTACTTTTGTAGCTCTTAGGAAATTTGGTCTTTTTGCTATATCCCCTAAACCCTATTCTGCCATCTATTTACACAAGCTCGTTATTTTTCATCTTGTATATACCGTGTCCCTTCAGACATTGGCGATCATGGCTCTCCACAATTTCCTTATTTTGTAGCTCTTAGGAAATTTTATCTTTTTGTTATCTCTCCTAAAACCTATTCTCCCATCCATTTACACAAGCTCGCTCTTCTTCATCTATATACAGTGTCAGACATTCTTCATCTATATACAGTGTCAGACATTGGCGATCATGGCTCTCCACAATTTCCTTAGCTTTGTAGCTCTTAGTAAATTTGGTCTTTTTGCTATATCCCCTAAACCCTATTCTGCCATCTATTTACACAAGCTCGATATTTTTCATCTTCTATATACATTGGCAATCATGGCTCTCCAAAATTTCCTTAGCTTTGTAGCTAATTTTTTTTTTTTTTAGTTATCACTCCTAAAACCTGTTCTGCCGTCCATTTTCATAAACTCGTTAGACAAGTTATGCATTGTTTTCTTCTGTCTCTCTTGTCTTCAATATATCCTTTTGGGTGACAAATTTTCCAAGCCCTCTTTCCTCATAATGCGCCCTAGAAATTTCAACTGTCTCTTTCTTATGGGGGCTTACCACCAGCACGTTGAAACATCGGCTCTCGTATGATCACCGAAGTTAAACAACGTCAAGCCTGGTCAGTATCTAAATGGGTGACCGCTTGGGAATACTAGTGGTGGTGTAATGGATAATGGCTCGGAATTGTTAATCGGAGAGCGGAGTTCCAATTCCAGTTGGGTTCGTTATATTCACTTACGCGCAAATACTCTTGGGGAAAGATATGAATCCACGTCTTCTTCCCCCAGCTATGGGTTAATGTAAGACTTGTAGCACTAAACCATTATTATCTACAAAGAATAAAAATTCTTACAATCTAAAAATATGTTCTGGCTTTAGATAACCTGTAAAGGGTTGATAAACCGTTAAAAACGAATGACTCAAATAATCTTTCTGGTGTTAAATATGTTTTCATTTTGTTTTCATTTTCTATAAAACTTCCTGCTTGAGCACATGTTCAGTCCATAGTATTCTCACCATCCTTCTGTAGAACCACATTTCTATTGCTTCAAGTCTCTTTCTTAATGTGTGAGATTATCCAACATTCACTACCACATAGAAGGACTGATATTACGTAACAGTACTCTTTTCTTTGTTTCTATCGAAAATTTTTGCGTATCTTAATACTTTGCTTAGCTTTTGGAAGGCATTTTCCGCTACTTACCATATATTTAAATTTTTGTACTTGCTTGATTTTGGTATCTTCACTTTGTAATTTGTATATATGTTCAAATGGGACGTTAATTTTTGGTTCAAATTCCTCCCCAGTTTTTTGAACAGAAGAAGAGGTTTAGGATTGGCTTTACGATTAGAATTAGGATTAGGGTTTAGGATTGGCTTTACGATTAGAATTAGGATTAGGGTTTAGGATTGGGTTTATCGATTACTTCTAAACTCTAGACTTCTGACGTCTTCGCCTAACTTCTGGAAATTCATTTACTATTTATTTTTTATTTGATTTTTTTTTCTTCAATGGGAGTAGATAGGTTCGCTTATACGGAGGCACGGTGGAGTAATGGATTGAGGAATCGGAGAGCCGAGTTCGAAATCCAGTCAGATTCATTACATTCACTTACGTGCTAATGCCCTTGAGAAAAAGGTATTAATCCTCTTCTTCTCCCTCCAGCTATGGGTAAATAGCAGGACAGGCCAGGTTCTATAGCTTAGGATGGCAACCTAATGCAGAAAGAAATGGCAACCTACTGCAGGAAAAAGGAGTAATGCATAGCGAGAGGCTTGGATTGAGGAATCGGAGAGCCGAGTTCGAATTTCAGTCGAATCCATTACATTCACTTATATGCTAATACCCTTGGGAAAGGTATGAATCCTCTTCTTCTCCACCCAGGTAAATAGCAGGACAGACCGGGTTCTATAACCGGTCTACCGCAAAAAGAAATGGCAGGCTACGAAAGATACATGATCGCCTAAGCGCGTATGATGCATGGCACAAAACTGAGGTTCGCTTATCGTCCGGTTATATTCCTGTTTAGGATTGGATTCTTCCACTCCCAGTAACGCCATTGCGTTTTAGTGGCAATATCGCCTTGCTTGGGGTGAACTGATTAAAAAGAATGATTTATTGAACTTTAAACGGTAATTTTACACTCATATAACAAGGAAATTTGAAAAGGTCACGAGAGCCTACCGTAGTGCAACCCCTATCATCTGTAAACATCATTCTTTACGAGGTCGTTGTAGATATGGTCAGTGGCAATATTTGAAGAAATCTGTGGAAACGGATAAGTAATTTATTTTTATTTCCGAATTCTCTGAACATTGGGTCGATTTCTCTTTCTCTCTCTGTATATATATATATATATATATATATATATTTCCTAAAACTATCATGAGCCC